GNTATGCTTGTGTTTATTTTCGAACATGCATGATGCTATTTTCAGACTTAAATAATTTTACCCGGTTCGCCAGTACGAACGGGTCCAGACTAATATGCATGATTCGTAAAAATATAAACCTGAATTCTTTAAGTCTAAACCAGTTGTTAGACCTAGGTTAAAGAAACGGGTTTTTAAGCAGAAAAGTCCTTAGCAGCATCCCGAGATAGTTTGCAAATGATTTCGAAAAATTTATAAGCGTTTTCGAAAGAGTTAAAATTTGCGAAAAATTGGCCCTAGTTAGCGGGGTGTTGCACACCCCATTTATTCACGTCAGACAACCCACCCACCCATCTGCCACACCATCCCACCCAACCCTTTTTTTTCTCTCTCTCAAACACACAAAAACACACTCACACACACATCAGGTCACACACACACAGCAACACGTCGGCGGACCGACCTCCACCGGCTCGGCCTCACATCGCCACCCGATCTTCATCCTGTCTCCGCCCACATCGCCGCACGACCTCCACCCTTACACTGCCCACATCGCTGCCGACTGCAACTCCCTCTTACGGATTCCAGCTTCTCTGGCAACCGCGGTCTGTGCACGCTTGTTACGTCATAGTGCACACCTGTCGGAGAAGACCACCGTCTCGTCCCGCCTGCCAACATCCATTGACCGCCGTCTCCATCGATCCACTCCCTCGCTCGCCGGAGTCCCCACCATCGGCGCTCCCACTGCCGCCGACTACCCGCTTGTCGTCACCTGCTTCTCCAACCTCATACCGGAGTTCTGCTGCCGCCACCACGATGAATCTGCCACCGGCAACCACGCCTCTGGCCATAGTGCTCACAGCCTTCCACCGCCTTCAATGAAAGCCTCACGCCAGAGCACTTCTTCGTTACTCCGACCACTTCATTCGACAAGCACCAGACCGACCACCCCTAGCCGTCTACAGCGCCATGGTCGGCGTGATATCTCTACTCGCGGACGCCGCCGGCGAGGACCCACCGTGGCTGAACACTCTCCCTGGCCGACAATCACATGAAATCCAAATTGGGATTGTGGGGGTTTTTTTTTGAAAATTTGATAATTTTAAGGGATCAAAGTGTAATTTTACATATTTCAATATATTACAATTTAGTCAATGAGGTCAAATTTATAATTTGTACAAAATTTAATAGTTGCACCATCTTTGTACATAAAAATCCACATGCACAATATTGGTAAACAAATGACACTTTATTTAAAAAAAATATTAAAATGATAAATACACTTTTATAATAATAAATTGTAAATTATTTCAATATTAAGTTCAATTCGATGTACAATTAAATATACTAAATCTAGTTTTCAAAAATACATAATATATGTAAAGTAGTGCACTTTATATATCATTGTGATGCACTTTATAAAGCAACACGTTGCACTTTATCAATACACTCCATAATTGACGTCAACAGCTTCTCGCAAAAAATACCACACAAAATAAATCTAAAAAACTGATATACATACTTCAACTTCAATCGCATCATTTATCCACACGAAACACAAACTTGATAACGTACCAAACTTGCAGTAGTTCACTTTATACATCAACATAATGCACTTTATATAACAACACGTTGCACTTTAAAATACATTATGTTGCACTTTATCACGAGTGTCATATTGCACAATAAAGATCGAAACAGACCGAACTCAATTTTTTTAATTACAAATAATACAAAAATAATAATTAAAATTAGTAGCATATTAAATATAATTTTTATATAAATGGCATATTATTTCGATTATTTATGACAATTCGATTAATCGAACCGGATAAACCAATTAATTACGATCATGATCAATTTGACTTGGGACAAAAGTTCAGTTGGTCCATTATGCACAATATAGACCGACAACCTGCCCTTTATTGATGGATGAATTGCACTATTAGATTGCACAATATATTTCGTTTACATATATACAATGTTTTTTTCGTTCATTAAAAAAAAAAACTAACATATAATATCAAATAAGAAAATATTAACGACTAATCATGTTTTCGATAATAAATAATATAATTTATGTAGGTTATTTTGGTTATCTATGTTAACCGACAAATTAACCGATCATGTTGAAATTTCAACTTCAACCGGTATAGTATTGTGCATTTTGTTCAATTATTTCGACTGTCATATTGCACAATATGGTATCATAATGCACTTTAAAATACATTATGTTGCACTTTATCATGACTGTCATATTGCACAATAAAGATCGAAACCGACCGAACTCAAAAATTTTCAATTAAAAATAATACAAAAATAATAAATAAAATAATTAGCATATTAAATATAAATTTTATATAAATGGCATATTATTTCGATTATTTATGATAATTCAATTAATCGAACTGAATAAACCAATTAATTACGATCGTGTTCAATTTGACTTGGGACAAAAGCTCAGTTGATCCATTATGCACAATATAGACCGACAACGTGTACTTTATTGATGGACGAATTGCACCTTACTAACTGTTAGATTGCACAGTATATTTTGTTTACATATATACAATGTTTTTTTTTTTCATTAAAGAAAACTAATATATAATATCAAATAAAAAAATAACTATTAATAATGTTTTCTATAATAAATTATATAATTTATGTGTGTTATTTTGGTTATCTATGTTAATCGATAAATTAATCGATCATGTTGGAATTTCAACGTCAATCGGTTAACAGTATTGTGCATTCTGTGGGACGTTGACATCTTGAATTTTTATTTTTATTTTATTAATTTTTAATGTGCATATACTCACACGATATTGTGCAAATTAGTTATCGTTGTTGTGCATTGTATCTAACAAAATTGTGCCATTATTAATTTTTTTTATAAATTATATATTTAATCCATCAATTAAAATTAATACACTAGAATTTCACAAAATTTAATATGAATATCCATAGACATATTATACAATTTTTTTTAACAATATACTACATCTATAAGTTTTTTCCTAAAATGAATACTTAAACCATTAATTAAATTACAATATAAGTAAATTATTGAAAATACATATTTGTCCCTAAAAGTTACCCATTTTCTACTAAATCACACGTAACCTATCCCTACTTTTGAAATTCACCTACACCTGCAACTAATCACGCCATTGAAATCGGCTAGCAAAATCTTCCCACATCTCGCCATTGCAACGGGCCCGAATCCGATCCTCCCCTACCGGAGGTGCTCAACTCAGCAGTCGGTGGTGGTCAGTGTAAGGGTATCGATGGAACAGAGCCATCGGAATCCTCCGACGCAAAGGACGCACGGTGGACTCGAGTCGGATGGAACTTAGACACGCGACGGCGACGGAGACGGAGGAGCTGTCGATTAACACAGGGTGCTGGAGACACAGCGACTTCGCGCGAGGTGTTTGACGGAGGAGCCGGAAGTCAGTGGTAGAGACTTGCGCCCGACTGTCGAGGGCGAGGTGGATGTGAATTTGACGGGAAGATTGGGGCGGTGGTCGACCCAGTGGGGTGGAGCCGTGGCAGGATGTGACGGTATTGACAGGATCGACGGCTGCAGGTTTGGTGGCGGCGGTCGGAATCCAAGGTTGTCGATGGTGATGTCCAGCGTCATCTGAGTTGTATGTGGGTCGGGGACGGCGACCATTAGACATGGCCATGGGTCAACCGGCCCGCCGACCCGGCACGGGCTCGGCCCGGTCAAACCCGTTGACCACAGGTCTGGGCCCTGCTCGGATTTTCAACCGGGCCGGTTCAGGGTCGTCTTTTTTTCGACACTGACCCGGCGGGCCGGGCCGAGTTCGGTTCGGCACGGGAAAAATCAATTGTTTTTGAATTTTTCTATTTTTTTTTTTTTTAATTTTTCCGGGTCAGACTCGAGCCCTGCCTGGCACGGGTTTAGGGCGTGCCGGTTCAGGGTCGACAAAACCCAACCCTTTGCCCATCCGGGCGGGGCCGGGCCGGGCCCTGAACCGGCCCACCATTTGGCCATGTCTAGCGACCATCGCCGGACGGCAGCCCATCATCGGGCGGCGGAACTGTTTCTAGGTGGCTGTGTGTGTATGTGTGTATGTGTGTGTGTATGTGAGTTATGTCATCTATGTGTATCGACAATGTGTGTGTGTGCTTTAGACGTGTGTGAGTGTGTGTTTTGTGTGAATTGTGAGAGAGAGAAAGTCATTAAGTATTAGATGGTAGATGAAGGTGGGTCCCACTATTGAGTAGTAATTATTTGAAATGACCATTTTATCCTTAATGAATGGTAAAATGTAAATAATTGACCACGATTTGACCATTTATTTACGAGAATGCCATCCTATGTTTGACTGCTATTATTAATATTTGACTTGATCATAGTCATTGACCTGTTGGATCCAATGGTCCATGATCATTCTTATTTCTTTCACTATCTACCAATCTCATATGATACCTTATATATATATATATATATATGGTCACACTCCAGTGAGAATGGTACTCAGTGAAATAAATAAGAATAAATCTTAGCCATCAAATTAGACAGTCTAACGGCTAAAAAACTGCTAATTTTTTACACTCATTAAAGACAAATAGGTAATTATAACATACACAAACAATTAATAACCTGTGGGCCCCATTAGAAATCAAACAACTCCCCAACCAATCCCATCCCCTTCCCCACGTCACCCTCTCTCTCCCCCCTTCTCTCTTTCTGTCTCACACACACACACATAGGCTCTGCGGCTGGAAAACAGAAGCTCACTTGTAATGCCCCGTTTGAATTATGAAACTTTGAGAATTAGTTATTATTATTATTTATCTTATTTATTTTTATTATTATTTGTTGAATGCTAAATTATTTAAATGACTAATGTGATTTGATTGTCTAATTGCTTAATTGTCTAAATATTATTTAATTGCCCAAATTGTCTAAATGCTATTATTATAAACTATTAAATTTGTGTATTTGTATTTTTACTAATATTATTATTATTTTAAAATTTAAACTATGTGTGTTAACAATATATATTATATATTTGGTTTGTTTATTTATCTGTGCGATTTAAATTATCGAGCCCGAGAAACTGTATTACTTCTACGTAGTCGGGCCCGAGAGCCGATATGTTTTATTGAACCGAAGCCGCGAGCCTGATGAACCGGGCCCGGCCCGACATATTTTTCCTCTGTTTTGCGCGTGTGTGGAATATCTTGTATCCCAAGATTTTTATACCCTAATGCAAAGAGTGTGTGTGTGTGTATATATATATATATATATATATATATATATGCGTGCCCTCCTCTTTCACGCTCATGAGAGCAGATTTTTCCCTGCAGCTTTTCTCCTTCACGCGACTTCTTTCATTCTCCTTCCCAAAATCACGATCACGTCCTTTCACCCTTCTCCTCTGAAAATTTCACGTCGTCGCCACACCATCTCATCACCATCTTCACGTTAAGTTCCTCGCCATCTTCTCCTATCCCTCTGATATATTTTCGTCCCGGTCGCTGCAACATCTCGCCGCCGTGAGCCGCTGCACCTTCGCAAATTCCGACGACCTTCACCGGTGAGCACCATCAACAGCGACCTCCCGTTGACGAGCAGGCCAGCAGCGACGACGTGAACACCGTGTCAGTCCCGTTCGACGAAGTTCAGCGGCCGTCAATCGAGCAGCGTTCCCCGCGATCGCACGACTTCCGTCGAACCCTCTAACTCCGAATTCCGTCGCTACCCTCTCGCCGTGATCCTCTCGCAGTCGCCGCAAGCCCGTCAACACCTCAGCGGCGAGTAGCCTCTTTTTCCGGCGAGACGAAGCTTGCCGTCGAGCCTCGGGCCGTTTCGCGTGCCGTTCGATCGAGCCCGTCAACCTTTCGTTCGTTCGTTTTCGTTCATTTCTCGAGAACGGTACAAGGCTCGACTCGTCTTATTTAATTTTACGTCTCGTTTATGTTGTGTATTTGATTGTCGTATGTGAAGGTTTAATTCAAGAATATATGCCTATGTGATTTTGTGTGTATCCGTTAGATTATTTGTGTTGTTTATGAAATTGTGCGTTGACGAGCCTTTCAATTTTGAAAAATCGAACGTGGCCTCGTCAACTCGTGAATTTGTCGCTGTGGGCCGGAACTTACGTCGTCCATAGTCTTATGGTGAAGACTTCGGATGGATTCGTCGTAAAACTAGTCGGTTATGAATTGTTGAAATTGTCTAATTGTTGTTTTGATATATAAATTATGATAAATTCTGTGATGCTCGTATCAATGTGAAATTTTATGTGCTCGACCCTCTGCTGGAAATACATGTTGTGTAAAAATTTCAGATTTAAATAATAAGTTTAGCTATTTTTAATAATTGTTTGGAAATCTGAGCAGAATCTTGTAAAATGCATATTAAATTCCGTTGTGCCTCAAAAATTATGAAATTTGAATATGTTGTCTTCCTTTATGTTTTCTAGGTTGTGTAAAAGTTTTGGAATTTTTGGACTTCGTTTGCTATATTTAAAAATTGTTTGTTGTATTCTGCAGCTTCATAATTTAATTTTAGTAAATTGAATTCTTGCTGGAAAATTCTGAAACTTTACTGAGATGCTTATTTTATATTCATGTTGTTAAAATATGAAAAGTTTTGGAGTTTTTTTTGGTTCGATTTTGATTTAAATTACTGTTGAATCTCGTTTGAATTTTTAAAAATAGCAGCAGTTAATGTTAAGGGCTGAGATTTTTATATGTTGTTTATATCGTGCTGTAGTATGTTGTGTAAAATTATCAAGTCCTGAATCATTCATTAAGCTTGAGTATAAATTCATGGCTCGATTTTGCTGATATCTTGTGGGAATTTTGTAAAATAGTGTACTTGGGATTTGAGGCTGAAAATTTGTGTATTTGCTTAACTCTGGAAGGTGATATTTTGGTTAAACTTTCAGGATTAAATTCAAATCATAACCTGGTCAACTTATTTTGGTGGCTTAAACCTAGTATTTTAGATACATAGCTTTTGGAAATAAAAACTGTGAATCATCTCGTTTTCTGTTTCCTTGAATGTTTAGCTTAGTCGATCTGTGCCTTGGATTATGTGAACTCTCATGTGTAATTGGTTGAGTCTAGAGGTCAAGTCTAAGTGTTCCAACGTCCACAAGACTTCACGAACAACTTAGTTGAATCAAGTTCGACTAAGTATGATTGTGATTTTCCGTCTAAGTCAGAAAAGATGTTGATTATAACATCTGAACTTAATGTAGGTGTTTAACGAGCCGAGCTCGCAGCCTAATCGTGCTTTCGTGATTATCTCCTATTTGCGACCAGGTGGGTTGTTATTCTAAAATCGTCTATGCTGTAAACGTTATTACTGTTTTAATTTTTGGTATGATCAAGTATGCATGTGGAACATGTAGCCTTCGATGTGAGCTGTACCGGCCGTCGAACGGTTGTCCCGTATTTATGAAATGAAAACCCGAGGGGTTACTCCTACTGACTGGGCATCGATAGAAGCCCATGGGGCATTCGATGTGTAAGACCGGAGGACAGAGACGTAAAGCCCATGGGGCGTTCGATTGAAGCCCGTGGGGCATTCGATGCGTCTACCGACAGTAGTCTATTGGTATAGATGTGCACATGAGTATGAACACTGTGAATTTATGATGAAAGTTTTGGGGATACTTGATTGATTCTTATACATGCTGTGATCATAATTTCTGATATGTTATGAAAATGTTTATTGCATAGTGGTGAGCACTACTTTTTCCAACTGTGCTCATCCCCACCTGAAATTCACGTTTCAGGTTAAGCGAGGCAGGCATGATGGCGAAGTAGAGCGAGTGGTGGTCGGTCTGTAAAACCGGTCATGTTATTTGTTATGCTTCCGCATTAATGAATTCTGGATTTTATGACCATGAACTTGGAGTATTTTGGGATTTTATGACTTGAATAATGTTGGGACCCGGTTTCGGTGATTTATGGATTTTATGAAAACCCGTCTAGGAGTTAGTATTATTGAATGATGATTGAGTTTGATAATTGATTGAATATTGGAAAGTTGGATAAGTATTGATGTTCGAAAATGAGTAGCGCCTTAAATGAGTATTTTGAAATAAATTTTGAAAATTTTATTCTGATTTTCGGTAAATAAAAGTGGGGCGTTACATCACTGGAACCTCTCGCACCATCTCCGATGTCCGAAATTTGACGGCGACAGCGGCGACATCAGCATCATCGGCGACGAAAGACATGCTCAGAAGTTGTAAACCCGTCGTCGACCACCGGAGCAGACAACCCGCTGGCAAAAAGCGACGATAGCGGTTGCGAGGTAAGGGCGACAGGTACGGGTGGAGGCCGTCTAACGGAACCGAGCCAGAGTCGATCTATTCCCTAGCGGGTAACGGTCGCGGCGAGATGGTCCGGCAACTCGGCGAGCGGTGAGGCAGTAGGAAGATGGACGATTCCTCTCGCCGAAGATGGTGAATTGGACTGCAGCGGTGCACAACAGTTGAGATCAAGTTTCTTACGCTGGTGACGGCGAGACGTGACGACAGCGGCGACCACGACCAGCAGATCTATTCTCGCCGGAGACCACGACCAGAAGATCCATTCTCGCCAGCGACCACGACCAGCAGTGGACTCGCCGAAGTCGTTGTAGAGCTCTGGATTTCCAACGTCAGGTTACAGACGGCAAAGTGACCTTCCTCTGGTAGCAGACGACAGACGTGGATTGAATTTGGATGGAGGACTTGTGGTTGAGAATTTAATATTTCAAAGGGACTAAATTATCATTTCCATATTTGTTTTATATTTCAATTTAGCCTATGGATTAAATTTGCAAATAAATAAAGATTGAATATATTTCAATTTGGTACATGTGCCTAATGTGTAACAAGTATGAGTCCCGTGCAGTGCACGGGTAAGAGATATTCATTAATATTTATAAATTAAAATTTTTTATTAAATAATGTTTATAAATTAAAAAGATGGAATCAATATGTAATACAATTTACCTATATTAATTTATTGAAAATGTTATAAAAAGTTTAAATTGTGCAAAATTACATAAAAATGTCTATTTAAAATTAGTATAAAACCCGTGCGGTGCACATAACTGATAATATATTACATTATATTCATTTCAAAATAAGTATCATTTCAAAATTTTATTCAAAAAATCGATTTGACTATATGTGATTCCATAAAATAGTTATTTTGGTAAAATGTTATCATATATTTAACAATCCATGTGAATAATAACTATAAATATAAAATTTATATTGTTTCATTACTTAAAATAATTTATTATTGTATAAACTATTCAAATAAAAAAAATTAAGTAGTTGAGTAATTTATAAACTATAAATAATTGATGGTTTCGTTTACGTCCAAGTTCATATTGACCCGAAAGTTATGAATAATTATTTTTTACTTTTAAATTTAAATAAAAATCTTTTTATTTTTTTGGTATGTATTATATACCAAATTTTAACCATGTAACTAATAAAGGTAGCTGCAAGTTTTGTCAATATATTATATTTTAAATTTAAATAATGCAACTAATAAAGGTAATAGCCGCGATATTTGACCAAAATGATTCTGTACATTAATTTAGGCAGGATTTTTCAAATTTTGGCTAAAAATATCACTCAATATAGTAAATACTTTAGGCGGGAAACCAAAGGTTTTTTTGCTGATTTTTAGTTGCTATTTCAAGTAAATATCGTTGCCTCTTTATATATTAATAGATAATAGATTATCAAATTGTATTATTTTAGCGAATGTAGGATTCGATATCATTGAATTGTTTACTTTAACTTGTTACGTTATAAACGGGATAATATTGAATTTTCGTCTACCATATATTAGATGAAGAATCCACATATATAGAATATTAGACATTTAATATTCCGGCTTTGTATCTTATGCTATCTTTGATTATTAAAATTTGAAACTCCCTGGCAGAGGAGCTCAGGCTTCTTTTCCTTTTGAAATTTGAATCGATACTATGTTTTCGAGTACAACAATTTTGACAACCTTCAATGTACAGGTTTTGCCGAACAATTACCAATAACTGATTTTTATGCATCCCCATAACACATTATAAACCTTTCAGCAAAGGGAAATGCTACATGTTGTACATAAGAGTGTACATAACACTCACATTTAGTGGGACCCACCAAAAATAAAAAATTAAGTGGACCCCACTCCATGTGAGTGTTATGTACACCTATATGTACATTTATTATGTATATGTAACATTTTTCTTCAGCAAAATATCAAGTAAAATAAGAATACCCCCAACCTCAAAAAATGTAAATCATCCTGAGCCAAAGTAATAATTTTGCAATTTCAAAATAACTTGACATTCATTCAAAGAAATGCAATTACATTAGCACAAAACCTCATACGGATGCAAATCAACACATAGATCAAGATTCGAAACCAGAGTATACCCCACACAGATCAAGAATCGAACGCAGATAAACCCCACAAGAATCAAGAATCGAAACCAGAGTATATACCGCTTTTCCTCAGCAACCCTTTTTCCTCCTCGACATAACACTTGCCCCTGCTAGCTTGGCCCAAGTCCCGTTTTCTTTTCTCCTTCTGTTGAAAGGACAAATTGTTAGCATTACTTCGTTCACTTCGAGTCTGAACATTCAAAAGGCGCTCTTCACTGGCTAAGGCGGATATCGTTTTCATTCGTTCCTCGTAAGATTCTTCTTCTTCTTCTTTTTCTCCTCCCTTTTGTTGTTGTGTTGTCTTTTCCTGTGGACCAAGAATAGTTTTGCTCCTTCTCGGGTTCCTTTGGTGCCGGCACTTTCAAGACCGATAGGCCTACTTTGTATCCGTGCAGACTCAAGGCTTCAAAGTCTATGCCTTTTTTCTTCTTCGAAGAATATACTGTCGCGAAGAAGATGCAGGATTAGTGTTTTTAACACATTTTAAATAAGAGGGAAAGAAAAAAGGGTTAATTTATGCTTCCTTATTATTGTCTTTAATTTACTAAACTTGCTCATTCAAGAATGAACTTTTTTTAACATATGACAAGGCATCTTCATTCTTCGTACAATTCAAAGGAAATCACAACAATTTATAGATTGATCAAGTAAAGATAGCCCTGTTTGGCTATCAGTCACTCGAGTGATATAATCTAACTAAACAAAAAAAATATTATTTCAAGAGGAGTATAATTTTCAACACATTTAAAATATAAGGAGAAAAGAAAAGACGGCTTTGCTTTTTCTCTTCCCCATCGACACATCTTCGTTTTTCATGAAATTCAACAGAAATCGTCGAAATTTTTCACAAACTGATCAAGCAAAGTGAGCCCTGTTCAGCTATCAATCACTCGAGGAAAATAATTTCACTAGAAAAATTATTATTTTAATAGGATTTTTCAAAATTTAAAGATAACGATACGAATCAAATTCAAATATAAGTTCATCTAAATCGGAGGTAGAGGTACCTTGAAAAGCTTTGAACTTTGAGGTTTTTCGAGCTCCCATTTCCATCTTCTGCATCGGAATCATGAGCTGAAGAATCGTTGGACGACGACGTTTCACCATCCTCGTCGTCGCTCCATTTCAGTCCCCTCTTCATTGTTCCACGGTTATGTTCAGTGGTAGCCTTTTTTCCAGAGAAGTTCACTTAATTTCCCAATTTGGGGAAGCTAGGGTTTCGCTCTCTGGAGTGATACTGAGCAAATAAATCAGACAATTCAGACCACGCAGTTCTTCAAACTTCATTCGGTGTCTCAGTCTCGGTCTTCAAACTTCAAAACCTGTATATTGAAACTCCATGGCCGAGGAGCTCGTCTCCGCCAGAGCCCCACCGGGAAAAAGGACTTTATGGTGTTGGCTATGGCGTCGAATTCCAGAGACAGCGGCAGAAATCTCTCGATTTCAAAATTTGGAACGTCATGTTTCATAAAAAGAATGTGACTTTTGAATGATTTTGAGGATTTAAATTGGCAGATTTTCCAAAAAATCTTGATATGAACGGTGATGGTATGAAAAATGGTAAGGAATAATTTATTAGGAATGTGGATATCTGCAAAGTTAAGATAAGAGCGTAGCCAAAAAAATCTACTCATCTGGTAAGGAATAATTTTTTTTATTAAGATATCTACAAATATTTAGCAAAAAATCTAACCATATCTTTAAGTGATAAATAAATAAAATCATCCCATATGATCACTGACGGACATTTAGGCTGAAATCAATTAATAAAATCTCCAAAAAATTCGAATTGCATACTGGGCGGGCATATTAAATTTTTTGAACAAAAAATTACTCATTATAGTAAAGATTTAGGCGGGAATTGAAGTGTTTTTTTCCTGATTTTTTCTTGCTATTTCAGGTAAATATCATTTCCTCTTTATATATTAATAGATTTTCAGAAAATTTAGTAAATGTGTAATAAATTTTCAAATTGAAATTAGGAATTTGGGGTTCCATTGATTTTTTTTTTAAATTAAATATTGTTGAGGGACAATTTTATAATTTTATTAATTTTGAGTATTTTTTTAATTTAGTTTATGACCAAATATGTAGTTTATAGGAATATCTCAAAATGCATATTAATGATAAATAAAGTGTACATTGTTTAAAAATTTTTAATATGTAAAATTTTAATATATAAAAAATATTAAAAATAATAAATATACTTTAGTAATAATAAATAATAAATACACTGGGACTACACAATAGTGTTAGACGAATCGCACTTTAACGACGACCAAGTTGCACCATAATGTTATACGATTTGCACATAATGACCAACCTGAATGAATTAAAGGTTTCGTTTCGAATATAGAAATATCTCATAAATGCATATTAATGATAAATAAAGTGTACACTGTTTAGAAATTTTATTATATATAAAATATTAAAATAATAAATATACTTTTATAATAATAGATAATATATACATTGCGACTACACGATAATGTAAGACGAACACATTAACTATAAATAAATTGCACCATAATGTTATACGAATTGCACCATAATGTTATACGAATTGCACATAATGACAGAAATTGAATGAACTAAAAAATTCGTTTAGAAATCATATATTTCGGCTCGATTATATATTTTTATTTGTAAAATATCAATTATATCAATTCAATATGGATATTATTTTTTAAAAAAACAACCAAAATAATCA